GTGTTTGTGTGTGCGTGTGTGTCTGTGTATATACTGATGAGCATTCTAAAGGTGGATGAATGGTTTACCCAATCATTCTCACAGGCTATTCTGCGTGACACTTTTCATTAACTGTACCCTCATAACACATTCATAGAACTTTCATAAGCAGCATGTAAGTACACCTAAACATTCTAACACACCTTAACAGCTTTAACATACATTAATAAACATCATATAACTATAAGATAATAACAAACATCAAAAATATAGAATTGTGTAAAGTTTGTTATTAATGTATATTAAAGCTTTAAGGTATGTTAGGATGTTACATGCTGCTTATGAATGTTCTATGAATGCATTATGAAGGGGCAGTTAATGTAAAAATGTTACCCAGTATCATTACACTTGCAAATAACATTATTTCATTTAATTATAGAGCAGGAGACAGTGGCTCCTTAGGTAGCACTGTTACCCCATACTCCATCATCGGGGAGTTTGAGCGCCCTGGTGTCTGCATGTTTTCTCTAAATTGCATGGGTTCTCTCCAGATACTGCGGGTAAGATGAGATATATTTTATTGATCCCAGGGGGAAAATTCTTTGGCGTATAGCAGCAAGTACATAAAGAGATGCACAGATACACAAGAGATGCACAGATACACAAGAGATGCACAGATACACAAGAGATACAGATACACAAGAGATGCACAGATACACAAGAGATGCACGGATACAAAAATATAGCACAAAACAAGTGCAAAGACAGTACTGTCTCACTGGAGGTACATTAAGATGCTACCCGTAAGCATTTATGGTAAGACAGTACACAGTGCAGACGAGTTACCTCCCTTAGCCCACAGACAGGCAGTCAGGTGAATTGGCGTGTTTAAGTCTCCCATGGTGTGTTTATGTATGTACACTGCAATGGACTGGCATCCCATCCAGGGCGTTTCTTTGCCTCGATCACTGTGCATCACGCCCAGCTCTTTCACTGGCTTCTTTACATATTTCAGCCTGGCCTTCACTGGGATCTTTATTCATGTCAGTGGACTGATATCTACAAGACATCTGATTTCTTAAAATTTGGTTTCTTATTTGTTTTAGCTGATGATGTTATCTGTCAGATTTTGGACCTGGGTGTTTTTTTATTAAACATTTCCAGCTGGTTACACATGCATATGCTAAATGGTTAGGCTACATGCTGCTGTTTTGTTCAAAGTAGCAGCTTTAATGTGTCAGTTGGATGTCTGACTCTAATAACCACGTTATTAGGGTTAGTTAGATTAATGGTTACACACAACTTCTTACCCAACCTATGGTCAAGTGATCAATATAGAATAAGGAATATGTTATTTTTCACAACTGAAGCCAAACATGCAAGTATATCTACATTTTTATTTAAGTGATATATGAAATCTGAGGTGGGGTTTCCTCTGGGTACTCTGGTATCCCCCCACATTGCCTGTAGGTGTGAGTGAATGGTGTCTGAATGCACCCTGCAATGGATTGCCGCTCCATACTGGGTTGTTCCCTGCCTTACGCCCATAGCCTCTGGGACAGGCCTCAGACCCGCCCGCGACCCTGAACAGGATAAGCGGTTACAAAAAATATATGGATGGATGGATGGATGAAATCTGAGGAGATTCATAGTTGAGGTGTGTGATTTTGTATGAAGAATGAGTGAGGGAATAGGGTTCAATGATGAGCCACTCTCCACTGTATATCTGATAGTGCCATTATCCAAACTGGAGACAATAGTTTTGACTTATTAGCTAAGGAAACCATCATCCTTGTCCTTTATAATGGTACATTTAACCTATTTTGCAGAAAAATGCATTTTCAAAAATATAGATGGAAATGCACAAAGGTGGTTGCAAAACAGGGTGATGTTTGTGGTCACAGGCATTGGCCCTTTGATTCAGTTCCTCTAAGAGTCTGGAGAAAGTTGAGGTGGTACTTTGGAGAAGGAAATTTCTCACCGCCAAGTGTTTTGGAAAGAACTGTTTCAACTATTTAGACTGAATTTATCTGCAGAAAGGCGTAGCCTGCCATGCATTTTGACAGCATCCTGCACAGGCAAGCCATCCCTCAACCGTCTGAACGGACTGGTTATGCCATTGTAACAGAGTCTGTTTGTTTTGGCCGAGCTGGAAGACAACTGGCACTCTTCCCCTTTGTGGACTCAGCAAATTCCATCAAGGAAGTTTGGTAACACTATACCTAAACCATGCATGTATAATGCATTATAGGCACCTTTATAAGGTATTATAATGCATCCATAAAGTATTATAAACAGGGCTATATTTATAAAAAGGCATAACACATTATAGCCATGTCTATTATGCATTGTGAATGTTCTATGAAGCTCATATCCTATAATGCATTATAAATACCTTCAGTACAAAGCGTCCTTAATTCATATACTGACCATTCTAATATATTATGAATGTATCTACCATGCATTATAGATGAGAGCTTCGTAGATCATTCATTATGCTTAATAAACATGGCTATAATCTTTCAATCTTTCAAATGTTTGTTGTCACATCATGTTACTGGTACAGTACATATGAGTGAAATTCTTGTGTGCTAGCTTCACAAGCAGTAGTGGTGTGCAAAATCTATATAAAAAAATGCTATGCCTTTATATAAATAGTTATAGCTGTATTTATAATACTTTATGAATGCATTATAATGCATTATGACGGTATGTATAATGCATTAGGATGACTGCTTTAAGTAAAGTGTTAACCGAAATTTCTCTCCTGCTCCTGAGAGACAGACTGGTATTCTCAGCCTCCTGGCTTAGACAGACAGGGGGGGCTTACGTAAGAGATGAAGGGTGACTTGGTACCTGTCATGCAGAAACTGTACCAGAAAGTCTTTGGCCAGAGACCAACTTGAGGAACATCAGCTTCAATTTGTGAAAAGACCAGGGTTAGAAACCCACGGCGACACCAGCAGATTCCGACTGTCCGCAGAGCAGCGTCCTGACGCACAGGGAACAAGCGGGTGCTGCCGGCTGTGTTATTGAGTCACCAGAATTCCGCCCACCTCTTCCTGTCCGCCACAGATCAGTCCCGGCCGTGGGGCTCAGAGATAAAAGTGTATAGATATGACACAACCAGCCACTCACATGCCTCACTGATGACTGTTGTTGCTGCGCCTGACACTCTACACCTTATTGTGTGCAGATCTGTGCAACAAAAAATCGCATTGATAGAGAATTATCATCCTATCAGTCTCTTGTTGCTAAACATTTAGAACATTCGATGCAAATGTGTTGTAAGGATTTACCAGAGCTTTTGTTCTTCCACTAAAACAGTTTAGGGTATGTAGTTAACTATCTTGGCAAGTTCTATATATGCCAATAAAAAATTTTTAAACAAATTTTAATGTTATGTAGACCCTTTTCTCTGACTAATCAAATATGGCTTATAGTAAATAATCCGTAAATTCATGCTGCTTAGGCGTTTCATCAAGACCCTAAAGACTGAAAATAGCATCATGATGGCCTAGGACTGCACGCTAGTTTTTCCACCTCCGTCATCGCATGTAAACACGAGTTGCACAAAGAAGGGATGCAGCCAACACGAGTGTCTGGTTTCACTTTGTCTGCCCGCAGTTTATTGCGTGAATCTATCTGCGCTGCCACCCGCCCAGTTCCAGGACCTGTCATGACCCCACGGAGATATTTATTGAGTAAAAAACACAACATACAAATGCTGTTTGTGGCAGCCATCTGTTGCTTTAGACATTCATCATTATACTATAATGTTTTCTGAGTAATCCGTTAAGTATAAACAGTTTTGTGATGGATTATAAATTTTCATGGCTCTGATGAGCTACAGTGGGAGAGAAAGTGTGGTTAACAGGAAGAGTATAATAATTATTTGTTGAATATGTGGCTTTCCTCTCCTTAATGAATCCCTTTATCTGTGAAGCAAACAATGAAATACATGACACATTGTTTCATTTTAAAGATATTTCACAGAATGGAATATTAATAATAATTCAGCTGAAGGATTCTTTCTGCCAGAATAACAGCATCTGTCGCACGTTGGAGAACACTGTTTGCTTTTAACTTGTGGGAATGTCACATGATTGCTGCCATCTTTAATGTGTAGAATGGAACACTAGCTGAAGGTAGCATAGCAGTGAAAGCTAATTTCAGGCCTGCTGTCTCGGGGGGGCAACTGGGGAAGTTTGGGGGGGGGATAAAGAGCCCAGCCCCGTTGAAATAATTTTGTCAGGGGTTCAGGAATTATGTAGGGTGGGCCTGCTGTTTTGATATGGAGGAGCAGAACAGAAGATCTTGAGAAGAATAGCTAGGCGTGATGGAGGCCGACAGGAATATTTTGACCTAATTATTACAGCATATTAAGCATGTTAAAATATTTTTTGCACTGTAAGCATTGAAACGAAAGCCTACAGTCAGTCTCGCCACCAACAAGGAAAATGCTAATCTCGGGAGCGCTGAATATGGGACATTGTGCGGGCCAACTAATGGGCTTGTTAATCTTTTGTGTTTTGCAGGCAAGAGTTTCACTCTGACAATCACCGTATTCACGAACCCCCCCCAAGTGGCTACTTACCACCGAGCCATAAAGGTCACCGTGGATGGGCCGCGCGAGCCCCGAAGTGAGTACCCATCCCAACTTCTCAGAGAAGCCTAGCGGCATGTCCGGCGTATTTCGGTCTTAGTGGCGAGTTAACCCAGGCGGTGGGACGGAGCGAGTGGCCGGCGGCGGGGGGCGGCGCAGCGCTAACAAACGTCTGTGTCATCGGGCCGCACAAAGCCCTTCTGTTATGCTGCTGCCACACGCCTGCGTCATTCCACTTACTGCTTTGCGCTTCTGCTTTTCTCTCGCCTTACAAAAATGTTTACCTTCTCGGCTCGCTATCACGTCTGCAGCACGTGCCGGGCTGGTTCTGACCCGCCCGCGCAAAGACCCCTGACTGCCGCGCATCTCATTACCGCCTTCGCAGACGCGATTAATATTCATCGTCGTCGAGCGAGTCACTGTCGCAAGGACGCTAGCACAGCATGGCCTCCTTTGACTCGGCTGTTTTGATTAGCATGTTGCTATTGTATTGAAGATCATCTCTGAGAAATGCCCAATCACCGAACTTGAATGTCAACAACGTAAAAACACAAATAGTCAAATGGACTTATCTACAGGAACAAGACCTCCAACCCATCTTCGTTATTAAATGGCCTGCATTAGTTTCGCAATTAAATTTAAAATTAATTTTCAAATCCGTTCATTGCTTGGCCCCAAAAAATGCTCTTGCAATGCAACTGAGGAATATTGGGGGCACGAGCGGGGTCTGCAGGGCTGGCTTCCGTTTTTGGGGGATAGCTGTGGGATCCTGATGGAGGTCAGTGGTCTGTGGTTGATTCTGCAAGCGCATATAAACATTACTGAACGCATCAGCCCATGCCGCTGAGGTGGGTTCATGTCACTCCTGCATTGGCGTTATTGCAGGACGGCAGTGATTGCGGAAAACCTTGACCATGTGTATTATTTATCAGCTGTCATTACTATTGTGGCTCTATAGGTTTCTTTATTGTAATTAGTATTAATTGTTACCAAATAGAGTACGAGGAACCGCAATACCTCATCCTAAAGAGGAGGATAATATGCATATTTTGTAAATTATTTGAACTCTTATGAAGCATTAGATTATATGGCAATTTTAATTGATGATAAATCACTTGTTAATTGAGATTTATATTGTTTTATTAGATGCATGATATTTTACACAAAGGAATACTTGTATTTATATAGTACGTAGCATTTTAAGTTTGTTGTGCAAAAATCTGTACCGAAAGTCTAGAAATATTGATAAAAATTCTACTTTACAAAAGACAAAAAAAGAACCTTTTGAGCTCTGCAGAGGATTAACTGAATCCGAGCTGGTGAGCCACAAGAAGAAGAACGTTTTAAAGATATCGTTTGCAGATGCCGAGGTCCAGGCTGCCCGCGGTTCAGGCCGCCGCGGTTCAGGATGCCGCGGTTCAGGCCGCCGCGGTTCAGGCCGCCGTGTGCACCGCCAGCCCAGCCGCGGTAATGCTAGTGTGAGGCGACTCGCGTCTCTCGCCAGGGCTTACACTGGGACGCAGCAGCAACATGCACACAGATCAGGAATGAAAGGCTTTTGTGCGACTGAAAAAAACAATAAAAGACTACAGACAAACCATAAAACTATGGGGGAAGGTTTATATTTTGAGCTCCATTGTTCGATCCGAAGCGATTTTATGGCAGATTCCCCCCGAGAGCTTGTTTCAATATTGTTTTCATTTAAGAGCAACTTTTACTATATGTTTGGTGCATCTCACAAAAGATGAAACAAATGCTAGACACATCACTGAAGGCTGTAGAAATGGAAACAATGGCCCTTTATTTCAGATAGCTTGTTTTTAACTTGTCATGATGTCTGGCTGTATTCTTTTTTCCATTTTGTGCCTCCTAGACAAGCATTCAGACCTCCATGTGTCTCGAAGTATCGCATCTTTTATTTCATGCATGTGTCGAGGGTAGCTTTTTGCCCAGTGTATTCCGGTTTCCTCCGTCCTCCTAGATTATATATGAATTGAGGGTAGGTCTTTGCTAGACTTCTCGTTTTCCCTGTGGTCCCAATTTCTAGCTTGTTTGGGTGTTCTCTGTTCACCTGGATTAAATGCCAGTCAGGGGTAGCTTGCTGATGCACCTCCCTCATTTCCACTGTCGTCTCGGTTCCCACTGCATCCAGGTGACATCTGAGTTGAATGGCTATGGATTGTTTCAGAAAACATCCAGCAGAAATTGGATGGAAACCTTACTTTGCATAATGTGGACAAATGCTGAAATATGGTACAAAAAACTGTTGAAACTAGATACACGACAATGACAGATGAGTCAGACAAGGGGCCAGAAACAAATTCTGCACTGTCTGTCATGACTGCAAAGACTAAAGGCGTTGGATTTGCTCAAAAGCTTTGGATTGGATGCATTACATGAATTATATGAATCACACATATCATTAGTAAAGTGCATTCAGAATGAGGATCTCATGAACATAGCTGAGAGTGGCTGGCATTCTATGAATGCAGTTGAGGGTGTTGGGTAATATGGTTTCTGGGGGTGTGGAATTGGGGCTTTCTTGATTATTGTTAGGTGATAAGCTTCCTTTTATTATAGGGCCAGAGAGGAGAACATCAAAGCAAGCCGACTTCACACTGTGATATCTAGGCATCTTCTGTGGTCAGTAATGTTCAGAGCTAGTGGGAAAGCATAATGGGGAAAAAAAATACATTATGGTGCCAAAGTGAGTTTCTTTTACTATGCAGAAATTGTCCAGGAAGTATAAAAGAACTGATAGCCTTTGTCAGCTTGTCACAAACAAGGTCAATCCCAAGTCAAGGCGTCGTAAGGCAATGGGGGGGGGGTCGTCATACATGAAATGATGACAAGGAAATCAGTGAGGCTTATATGAATCCATCATTCAGTCAGATGGGGGATAAATAAGTGGAGCTGTATGTTTTTACATAGGGACCCAAGATTGAACTTGTACCCCAAACATACTGTAAAACAATGGATTGCTCTATAAAGCCTCTTTGATCCACACACTTCTGGTTGCGATGAGATGCTCAGTAAAAAGTTTAAGCGTTTGGGAGAAGAACTTTAAGAGGGAGCCAATAGGAACTGACTACAGGGGTCAGCGTGTTTTGCATACGGTCGACCCTTCTGCATTGCAGTGGCTAGAGGCGCAGGCCCCTCCCTCCTGATGTAGAAGAAACCGTCTAAAAAATTTTGGTCCCTTTGGCAAGCAAAGTGAGCCCATGAGCGGAGCGAAGTGAAGCGAAAAGATACGAAAAATGCAAGATACAAAGATTACTGCGAGATCACCGCAAGATATCACGCGAGAGGCTGCCAGAAACACGGTCGCTGTCCACCAAACCTGCACCGTACATATATTTCACGCATTTATAAGTTCACCTGCCGGCCTTCGCATGTCGTCTGCAACTTTTGCAAAACTCCCAAAAAATTCCCATTTAATTTCTTACGCCAACCCCACGATATATTGCAGCCACGATTGGGAGAGCGGCGGTGCAGAAGCATCGACTGTAATTTTCTTTTACTAGGAGGTTATGTGCAACTGCATTTTGTTCCAGTTGGAGACACTTCACTGGAGCTTCTGAAGAGCCGGACAGAAACTCGTTACAATAATCTGCTAGGATCTCGAGGTTATGGATATACAAAGCAGGGCCTTCACACCATGTAGAGATGGAATCCTGGGCCGTCACGCTGCATTCCGCAGGCGAAAGTAAGACGAGCGAGATGCTTTTCAAATGTTGCCGTCAAACATTGAGATCCCGGTCGAGAGTGACATCGAGATCCTTCATAGCAGCGTTGGCATTTACATTTGCTTTCAGATCCAAGAATGTATCTCTAAGTCACTTGGGAACCACTTACACACATCTGTTATCAGCTAAAAGGAAACTGTGTGTCATACAACTACAATGATCCTGGAGACAGACTTACAGCATAGAGTATACTAAGAATTTACATGAGAGATAAATAGAGTTTTGTGTCATAGGCATGGTAGTCAATAGTATATCTACCCCAATGTATGGCATTTATATTGAGCAGAATAGCAGTCAGGCTCAGATGCTGAGTCTCTGTGCCTGTGATCAGAAGATTGCCACTTTGAGCCTTGGAAGAACAGTCACATGTCCATGGGCACTTAAGCAGGGCCCTTAACCCCCAGTTCCAGGTGTGCTACATGTTAGCTAACCCTGTGCTGTGACCTGCAAGCTATGGAGAGCAAGATGGTGTAGGTGAGGAGAAGCGTTCCAGTGTACCCGTACTTGTGCCGATAGCCAACACAAACAGACACATCTGGATGCTTGGGGTCAGAGACGCTGCCCAAGATGGTGGATTATATGACCTTCTCATATCTCAGAAAGTCTCGGGGCTGTGAGATGAGCCTGAGGTTTAGCATGGAGCTACCCCAGCTTATTTTGAACGGGTACATTTAAAGTTTAAAAAAGGGTTGGGAAAATAAAAATGTAAAAAACAACTTTACAGTGTCCTTCAATGCCAACTGGTCTGGCAAGCAGCTGTTCCCAGATGCTTTTCGTTCATAAAAATATTTTTGTCGTCCCCCTACCCCCCTGCGCCACTCACCCCACCCACTTTCTTTGGCACCGGTATCAACACTATCACATCGCAAACAACTTCTCCCCCCTCTCCATAAACACATCTGGCCCTGGGAGCCGAGGGGCCTTTGTATCAGCACACGATCGCCGTTTACGGCCGGCTAGAACGGTGCCCCGTGGCATCGCCGCCGCGTTCCGCCTTTGATGTGCCCATCGCTTCATGTCACCCTCCGTCTGCTTTTTTCAAAAAAGAAAAAAAGGAACCTTTTCAAAGAAGTTCTAGCTAAAGGCTTCCAAACAATGGCAGACAGAACAGGGTGGATATTTGATGTCTCTTTTTTTGTGGTTTTGTGACAGTAAAAATTATGATGCAGCAGTAATTGAGCTATTTAAAACATATGTCATATTAAATCACTTTATTAATTTGATCTAAATCATCTTTAGCTCCTGAACGTGTGGCATACCCGTGATTAATTAAATCCCTGATTGACACTGC